CTTTCAAAACTTCTGAAGAAAATGACACGCGGAGCTATCTTCTGAACTTTTCAGTTGAAAAACTGAAGCTCGTTTTTCTGCAAAACTCCGAAACAATGATTTGTTATTTCATAACAATAGTGATAAGCAGTCTTCGCTCAGGACTTTCAGGTTAATTAACATACTACAACCGGTCAACTTGAACAGCATTGCAAGTAGCACTGTGGTACGAGTGCCACCTTTTTATTAGAACAGTACAAATGCTGACTAATTTAGCTTTTATAATTGTTCAGAGTTCTAGGGGCAAATAATTGACCGGTGATTTGACTTGTCATTGAAAATACTCCCTTCGTCTCATTTTAAGTGTACCTATGAGTTTTCGTGTCCAACTTTAATTATCCGTCTTATTTCAATTTTTTTATGATTAGTATTTTTATTGTTATTAGATGATAAAACATGAATAATACTTTATGTATGACTTATTATTTTTTTAAAAAAAATTTCAAACAAGATAAATGATTAAAGTTGGACACGTAAACTCATAGTTGTGTTTGAAATGGGAGAGGGAGTAACAAGGGAGTAGTTTACAATATTACATATAGACCCCGTTCTTTTCTCCAACAAGAGTTGGATGAAGATTAAGATTTTCGTGTGGCACGTTTTTCAAACTGCTAAATGGTGTGTTTCGTACAAAAACTTTCTATATGAAAGTTGTTCTAAAATATCATATTAATCTATTTTTTCAAGTTTATAATAATTAAAACTCAATCAATCATACGTTAATAACACCTCGTTTTGCATAAAAAACTTAATTTTTATTTTCATCTTTATCTTCGGGAGAAAAGAACACCACCACACTGATACGGAGCATACTGTTAGCCAATAAGCTGGACACGTGGCACCCGTCATTAAGTTGCTCCCACCAGGTAACTTCCTACGTCCCTTGTTTGGATCACCCTGGCGTCAACTGTTCGTTTTGTCAAACCATGGCGTCAAATAGGTGCAGTCCGAAATTCTTTTGGCTATGTCACCACTAGGGAGTAAATTCTTAGCACTTTGGAGTCAACCCTCCTAGCTATAATAACAGGAGGGAAAAATTTTCTTTTTCCACGCAAATAAAAAGATTTATGTATAATTTGTCTTTAAAATAGATGTAGATGAAAGTCTGGGCATTGCTAAGGAAAAATTATACGATAGTAACTAAACGTGAGGTACAAAGTAAATTTGCTTTGTAGTTAAACTTTTTGCCTTCACGTACTTTACACAATCACATCTTGCCATTATGGAAAAATACCAATGATTCAAATGTTAAAAACAATACAGGTAGTTTGATAAAAAAAACAAAAACAATTGAGATGTTGTACGTGGATTCATGCTAGAGACGAAGGGAACGATTTGCACCATAAATGAATGATCAAAGGGTTGAAAATAATTAAAGTGATGTGTGGCTTTATGAGAGAAACGATAATTATCATTAACTATACTCAGTGATGAATAACTTTATAATTAACTTTATAGGATTCAAAATGTAACTTTACACTTTTGAAACTTTTCAACTCATGTTTTAAAACTTTACAAAATTGTACGATAGTAACTAAACTTTATAGGAGAAAAGACTATTTATTTATTGTTTTATAGTAGAAAATTATTAAACAACAATTAATCGAGATACACTGTTTGAACGAATTTACATGTACGTACATGATTTATCCCTGGTACAACACACGATGGAATAACATTGTTTGTTACATTATGGGTTATGTAAGCTGTTGACCCACAGGATTATATCGGAACTAATCTCATATATAATACAATCATGTCACATGTGTTAGAGAGTACTCTCTCCGTCCCATAAAAACTAACCTATTGGATGTGACACATTCTAGTACTACGAATCTGGACATATCTTTATCCATATTTATTATATTAGAATATGTCACATTCAGTCCTAGCTAGATTCATTTCGTTTGGGACGGAGGGAGTAAGGACGACTATTATGTTGTAGACCCATCATATAATTGTAATTGTGATTGATGACATGATTCAGGATTCTGACAATATATTGGAAACAACGAAGTGGATGGAGTCTGTTCCTACCCATGGAACAAAAAGTAAAGGAACAAAGGGTAGGGTGTGGTTAATGGGTGATCGATCCCATCCCCCTATACGCTCTCTCCCCCATTTCTCCTCCTTTTCTTCTTTTTCTACTACACCATAATTTTTTTAAAAAATAAAAAAACAAAGTTGGAAAAACGATTATGTATAGAAATACTATATAATTTTTTTTGAATTTAAATTTAAATTTTAAACCGGTATGTAAACTTTTGACTTATAAACTTTGAGTCTATAAACTAATATTTGAATTCAAATTCAAATTTGAATCGGGTATGTAAACTTTTGACTTATAAACTTTTGGTATATAAACTTTAGTTGTATAGAAATACTATATAAAAAAATATTTGAATTCAAATTCAAATTTGAATCGGATATAATTCAAATTCAAATTTGAATCGGGTATGTAAACTTTTGACTTATAAACTTTGGCTCTATAAACTTTAGATGTATAGAAATACTATATATTAAAAAATAATTGAATTCAAATTCAAATTTGAATCGGATATATAAACTTTTGATTGTAAACTTTAGATCTCTAAACTTTGTGTATAAACTTTAGATGTGTAAACTTGAGGTGTATAAACTTTTAAGTGCATAAATTTACTAAAATAGGAAAGTAATACGGTGAAAAAAAAAAAACAGGTGTCGGGAGGGAGGGGGATCCGTCCTAGCGATCGATTCGCGTGCAACGTGAGCGTGACCTAGCGCACGGGGCACATGCACGGTAGCAATTCCTTTTGGCATGGCCCATCATAGGCGAGGGGTAGATTTCAAGCCCATTGTCTCATTATCCCTATCCGTTGCTGCATATCCAGGAGGTTTGGGCCATTCACCGTGAATAAAGTGCAATAAGTTCACTTTAGGTCCTTTAATATATTGCTAAGTATGAAATTCATCCCTAACCTAAAATACTATTAATTTACAAAACCGGATCACTCAAGGTCCTACACAATATTATGCCCAGTTTTAGCTGATGTGACATGCTGAGTAAGTGATGTGAAATCTGGCGCCGCGACACACGAAGGCATGGGAGGTCTACTTAATTTCAGTGCAGGTTCTAAATCTTGATGAGGTTCGGATGTGCTAGTTAATTTAATCTTGCAACTAATAAGGATGACAGAAAGAATTGAACCAATCAACCGATACAGATCTGCATCGATCCAATGGTTAAAACGTACATCGACTGGAAGTCCAATGCAGGTAGATTTGAGTGTATATCGATTAAATAACCGATACATCTGATAACTAAATCTTAAAATAATGATAACTCATTGGCTACAGCCTCGATGAAACATTGCAAAAAAAAAGTCCTATTGGCTTAGGGCATCTCCAACAGAGGGCCAAATAGGTTCCTAAAAATTATTTTTTAGGATTTTGGTTAAAACTAGGCCTCTAACAGATTGTCAATCACGGTTCTAAAATTTACCCACTCCTAAAATCGGTGCCAATCTCATCAGAATTTGGGAAGCTGTACGCCCTCCCAATCCCACCAATCGCGCCCATTTTTTTTACCGTCCGCGCCATTTTTTTTCCGCCCGCCTCCTTTTTCTTCTCGCTCCTTCCTCGCGTCGTTTTCTTTCTCGCGAGAAACAGCGCCCACGCCGCCAGGCTAGGGTTATGGGAGCTCCTCGCGCTAGCTCCGTCCCGATCGCCGTCGGCTGCCTATCCAGGTCACCGCCAGCCGGCCGTCCAGGTCACCGCCGGCCGGCCGTCCAGGTCACCGCCGGCCGGCCGTCCAGGTCACCGCCGGCCGTCCGTCCAGGGCTCCGCCGGCCGCTTATCCGGGGGATTGCCGGCCTGCCAGCCGTCCATCCAGGGGCAGCGTCGCCGGCCGTCCGTCCAAGGCACCACCACCTCGCCGTCGACCGTCCATCCAGGTTGCCCCGACGCAACGTGTGCTGTTACTCATTCACTTCAAGGTATTTTCAGAGAAACAACTTTATTCTTTTCAAGCTTGAAGTTCCTGTACTGATTTCCCCACACCGTCAATCCCCCACATAGCCATCTAGTTCACAGGGATATCTCCCAATTTTTTGATGGAGATGCAAAGCTCCTCCCTTAAATTGTTTACCAAATCACTGCCACATACCTCAATTGTAGTACTTATCTTCTGAATAATGCAATAAAAAACTGTTGTCCTGTCCTCTTCAAATGATTTCCAATGGATCAGGCATCGGTAAATGAGGTATGCGGCAATAGGCCTTGCAATAGAGAAACCCAGATCTTCAGATATGCACTTGATCAACAACTCATGGATATTCAGAAAAATATAGAAGAAAATGTTGAGGCACAACACCTGAACGAATTGTGATACTGCTTGAAAAGAAGTTCAGAATTACTAAGCATCATACCTGTTGCTGCTTCTCAGCTTCAGGATCATTCAGGCCAGTCAGTTGAGAATTGTTCTCCTAGATTGAAATTAACTTTTGTTAAATAAGGAACTCATTTTACGAATATACTGATCAAATATAATTTGAGGATTATACTAACATGGATGTCACAAAAGTTACTGGCCTATACCAATTGTTAATTCAACAGTGTTTGCTTGCGTTTGTGTTCAGTCAGATGCATTCTTCTTCAGGTTGTATAGCACCCTAAATTAACTAAACAATGAGCTTCTATATGTGCAGGGTTTTGTTTGCTTGCAGCAGTATTTGATGACCTTTTCTTAGATAATTTAAGTGTTTGATGACCTGACCAGTCAGCTGCTCATTGGCTAGATATTGCTATTAGCTTCTAGTATCTTCTGACCTTAACTTTTTAGCCTTTTGTAATGGATTCAGTGAACATGTCTGAATTAAATTGCAGAGTCCCAAGATGCTAGTACTTCTACAAACGTATTAGTAGTACTGTTCTTATCTGACTACTAAATTAAACAAACATGTACTATTCGTAGGTCCTATTGATAATGGAAGAAGAAGGATTCTATACTAATTTGATGAATGAGGGCAACGATTCCTTAGATTGGGATAGTTTGAGTAGTATGCCTGTGGAGGATGATATGAGTAACCAGCTTGATGAGAATGGCATGAGTAGCGAGCCTGTCACGCAGCAGTTCCCAACTGCTGAGAGGACTACCGTGGCTAGACCAAATCAAAAAAGATCGAAGAATTTTAGCGAACAAGAAGATAAGATACTTGTGTCGGCGTGGTTGCATGTAAGTTTGGATCCAGTGCTAGGCACAAATCAAACTCGTGCTGCATATTGGACTAGAATATACGAGCACTTCTACAAAACGAGTAAATCCACACCAGATCGCAGCCAAAATTCACTTATGCATCGTTGGGAAACTATACAAGAGAATGTCAACAAGTTTTGTGGATATCTGAGCCAGATTGAGGGTAGAAGGCAAGGCGGGGTTAGTATACACGACAAGGTAATACATAGTTATGTAGCTTGTGTTTTTATGTTACTTTATAAATAAAAAATGTGATGTTTGCTAACTACATTCACCATACTTGACTTGTGCAGATTGCTCAGGCAATTGCTGTATTTAAGGAGTTGGAAGGAAAGCCCTTTCAATTCCTTCACTGCTGGTCTCTCTTGCGGTCACAATCTAAGTGGCATGATAAGATGAAGCAAATAACATCCCAGAAACCCTGTGCCACCAACAGACAGAAGCCAAGCATAGATGGTTCAGCAAAAGCTACACCCACAAATGATGAAACTACCAATCATGTTGGTGAAGATAATGAACCTACAGAGACTGAAGAGCCAAAGAGACCGATGGGTAAGAAGAGAGCTAAAGAGCATTTGAGGCGTGGTGAAACATGCACAGATGCTTTTGATCATTTGTGGGAGAAAAAAAAAGAAGCTGATGCAGAGAAGAAGAAGGAGAGAGATGAGAGGCACCAAAAGTCATATGAACTAGATAAGCAGAGGCTTGAGTTAGATAAAAAAAAGGGTCGCGAATGAGACGGATGAGATACAGTTGAAGAGGATGTTAGAAGAAGAGAGAATTATGACAATGGACATTTCTTCCAAGCCTCTCTCACAGCAGCAGTTCTACAAGAGTGTACAAGATGAGATCATCGCTCGTCGCATGAACAGTTCCGGTTGATAGGTTTGTGTTTCATAACAGTTTACATTCAGTTGAGTGCCTGTGTTCATGCATATACTTGTTCTTGTGTCCATCTTGTTGAAATGCTGCCTTTGCACAGTTGCACTACACCATCTGATTCTTAAATATGTTGCATGATCCACTGATACATGGGACTACATATATTTTTAAATATGCTGCATGATGCACTGCCAAATCTTGGTCTGAACCTTGGTCTGTACATGTATTCTGATTCATTTTCACTCCATCTCATTGCTATCAACAGGGAAGCCACCAGATCAGAGAATGGGAGGGAAGGAGATGGCAATATTTGGTGGCAATCGTACTTGGAGTTCAGATTAGTTAGAAATTTACCTAGGTTTACTAAGTCTGTGCAATACAAACTATTTATATTCGCAATTGTGTCTATTTTTTGTCTCTAAATTAGGTGGGTTTACTAAGTCTATGCAATGCAAACTATTTAAATTCAGAATTGTCTATTCAGTAGTTGGGTAATTCCCTCATCCTGCTGTCAGTAATGCTTCTGTCTTTGTTGCTGTTGACAGAGTCAGAAGCCTCATATATTTTGAAATTTGTACTAATGATCGGTCATCTTGCTGACAAGCTGATGCATATCTTGCAAATTATATATAAGCTGAACTGTACCTATGACTAGGTTGACAAGTTAAAGGAAGTGCACTTTTATTAATTCTCCTGTACTATTCTTAAACCGAACAGTACACCATTTATTCAATACATGAAAAACAAATTAAGATGATTTGGCAAATCCTCACATGTATATTATTTATTACATGGAATTCAAACATATAAATAAAACCTCAATATTTATCCGGATAATGTTGCCACAAGTGCTCCACTAGGTCTTCACGTAGCTGGTAGTGAGTTTCGTCGTCCCTTATTTTTTTGTGCATCTGGATAAAATCATCAAGATCAGGTATTTCATCGTGGGACACTGACATTTTCTCCCCCCTCTGGGAACCGTTCTTCCCAATCAACTTCTCCCTCATCTTCAATAATCATGTTATGCATGATAACACAAGCTTTCATGATGTATCCTAAGGTCTTTTCATCCCAATGTCGAGTTGGCCCTCGAACAATGGCAAATCGAGCTTGCAGAACCCCAAAAGCTCGTTCGACATCCTTCCTTACTGCTTCCTGTGCTTTGGCAAAATATTTTCTCTTGTTGCCATGTGGTTCTGGTATGGTCTTCACAAATGTGGCCCAAGAAGGATATATGCCATCAGCAAGATAATATCCCATCGTATAATTGTGACCATTTATACTATAGTTCACTTCAGGAGCCTTGCCTTCAGCTAGCTTTGCAAATAGCGGGGATCGATGAAGTACATTGATATCGTTATGAGACCCAGGCATACCAAAAAAAGCGTGCCAAATCCAGAGATCCTTTGAAGCAACGGCTTCTAAAATTATTGTAGGCTCGTGCACGTGCCCTTGGTACATACCGTGCAATTCTGTAGGGCAGTTCTTCCACTTCCAATGCATGCAATCTATGGAGCCTAACATACCGGGGAAACCTCTGTCCTCCCAAGTTCAAGTAATCGAGTTGTATCGTTCTCATTGGGTGATCTTAAGTATTCATGTTCAAAAACTTCTACAACTGCTTTCACAAACCTTCTCAGGCTCTCTATAGCGGTACTTTCTGCAATACCGAGATATTCATCCAAAGCATATGCTGCTAAACCATAAGCCAACTGACGCACTGCTGCAGTGTCCTTTTGATGACAACTGAACCCAATTAAACCAGCTGCATTTCTCTTCTGCACAAAATTGTCATCGTGATCCTCTACTGCATTCATTATGTCGAGAAACAGAGGCCTGCTCATTCTATTCCTGCGAATCATAACTAATGAGACATGCATATCTATGCATATAACAAAAATAAATTATATAAAATTTACTTATACAAACCTGCGCCTGAATAAAACTGGGCCATAGGTAGGATTATCGGAAAAATAGTCTTGGTATAATCTCAAGTGCCGTGCTTCTCTGTTGCGATCAATCACTTCATGTCCCATGACAGACCCACCATGTCTTGGTGCATTGACAGAGTGCCAATAGCTATGGACGATTTGTGCCGTGGCAAAAAAAAAATCATCGTCATCGTCAGACGATGATTCATCCACGAGCTGTTCAAACGAGGAGCGAGGTCGACTCATCTTGGATCAAATCAACCGCCAAACCATTATTCATCATAATAAATTAAGTTTTTCCCCTTGCGACGTTGTCAGATCAAATTAAAAAAAATGTGATTGACCTTCCGTTTTTCCAAATATTTATTCATCATATCAAATTAAGTTTTTTTTTCCATCAAGACATTGTCAGATCAGAAACATAAAAAAAGGAAATAGAACAAAGTAAAAAACATGGTTGCTAGCAAAATTTTGCTACTCACGCACTGCACAAGAGCTTGTGCCTGTCACCAATCGTTGCTGCTTGCTGCAGTTGCCTGATTGAGTGAAGTGCTAACATCGCCGGCCCTGACAGAGGAAGAGCTCTGATTGAGTGAAGTGCTAACGCCGCCGGCGCTGACAGAGGAAGAGCTCTGTGTGCGTCTATAGCACTGTGTCCTTCGATCAATTTCGTATATCGCTGCGTCTGATATATAGCCTCGCCAACGGTATCAGTTGCGATCTCGCGCGCGACTAGGATGAGCAGCCATCTCCTTCCGTCCGCGTGCGTCGCGTCGACCATGCCCATTCCCCTCCGCATCCGCACGCCGCGATCTCCTCCTCGCCTCTCACGCGCGACGCGATCTCCCCCTCCGCTCTCGCCTGTGATTTTAACGAGCAGGTAGAAAATTAGTTGGGAAGGGCCCACTAATGATGATGTGGAAAAATTTTAAAATTTTGGGAACCAAATTTTAGTCATCTCTTGGAGAAGGGGGTGTATTTTAGGCTAAATATGTTCTTGGCTGTCTCCAATACAGGATTTTTGGGAGTTTAATTTTAGTCATCTATTGGAGATGCTCTTAGTAGAATCAAACTTATTAGTAGCAATATAATAGATCGGACCTAACTGAGACAGTATAATATTGAAAATAATAAGAAAAAGATCTAGTTAGCCGATAGATCTACAAAACCATGATGGATATATCGAACCAATCTAAAACAACAATGTGATTGGAAAAACAATAACTTACTCAGAATATCGGACCTAACTGCGAGGGAGTCCTAACTAAACCGATACGACTCTAAATAACGATGTAGTTAAAAAATAGAACCAATGTATCAGATAGACAACGATTGCAACAACTTGAATAGAATGTCATACCTAACTGAGAAAGTTCTAGCCATACCGATACAAGCGAAGTTGAGGAACTACTTCCTTGTTGGAGATCGAAATAATGTAGCCCAACTCGAAAAAGTTCTAGCCATACCGATATAAGCGAAGTTGACGAAACTACTTCCTTGTTGGAGATCGAAACGATGTAGCCTCACTTGATACTAAGAACTCGTCGGAATAAAAAGTGGTGGTATTACAAGTGGAGATGAATAGATGATTTACAAAGACCACAAGTGTACGTATTTATACGCTTGGGTTGATACAAGTCTTGATCGGACAATAGATAAGACACCTAACAAGAAAATGAAAATAACTAATCCTTTCTATTTAAAACATATAATACACATATGAAACTGCCCTACCGTGGTTTTCACCATATGATCAGCTTGGCTGGTACCGTGCTCGGCCTAGCCCATTACTAGAATCTAGTCCGTCGACGTGAAGTGCTGAAAGCTTGGGCCGTTTGCCTTTAAATTCCGTCCGGATTTGCTGAATCAACAAATGCATTCGCTCTGACGCCCTGCTGTCTTGTGTGTGCACGTGTTCACGTTGATCTGTCATCTTTGCAGAATTTTTCATCTCCATATGGAATTTCAGCTATTTGTTGTGTTGGGAAAACCAAAGGACCATTTCTGATACTCCCCCTATTTTATATTATAAGATTTTCTAGCATTACCCATATTCATATAGATGTGAATAAATCTATACACATATATATCTAGATTCATTAACATCCATATTAATATGTGCAATGTTAAAAAGTTTTATAATATGAAACGGAGTCAGTACCAAATACTGAGTCCCATGAAACAACTCAGAACACATGGGCATATCGGCAGGGAGCAAAGGGAGGCTATTATTCAACTGTACTCACTGATCTCATAATCACTTGGCTAAAATAAAATCACGGAGAAAAAGGCGTGCTGCTGATAGTAGAACACACCGACTGCAACCGAATCGCCACAAATTAGCAATCATCAACATACAAAAGTATATTCACGAAAACAAGCTAAATATCCCAGAACACAATAATTTGGAGAAAATTATCTCTCAAAATGCGGCACAACGGTCTATCATCAGCAATGTTCACTCATGCCGGCCGCACGTACGGCCGGAGGGAGGGAACAGCCACGTCCCCAAGCTACCCACTGGCCGTAATGGCGTCTTGAGGAACAGCTGCGACCGGCGTTCCCTCATGTCGTAGATGGTGCAGAAGAACTCCACCGTCCGCCATTGCTGGCCGCCGTAGCCATCGGCGCCACGATCCTGCAAGAAGAAGATGCGGTCCCCAATGTTGTGTGCCTTGCCCTGATGGACGTCGGGGACGACGTGGACAGACCGGGATCACCAGCGCCCGACGAACGGCACGCGGTCGCCGCCGACGCTCCTCACCTTCCTCCACCGCGACCCCGCCATGTCCGCCGCGAACACCTCGAACTTGGTCTGCAACTCTATCTGTTCGGCGGAATACAAAGGGACGTAGGAATCGTCGTCGTCGGGATACAAAATGACGTTGGATTGTTCGTCGTCGGAGTATGATCCCTCTCTCGTGCTGTGATTCTCTTTGCGGACCATGAGCAATGCGCCGTCGGACTCCACCAGGTAGAGCGGCGGCTCGGTGCGGCGGCCGGGGCTTATCCGGACGAGGCAATCGACGCTGGACACGGTCGGCTCGCCGCCGGCGTGGCTGCCGTCGTCGTCCTCGCTGATGGAGATGGAGAGGAGGTCTCCGCTGTTGACGAGGGCGTGGAGCTTTCCTTGGTAGGAGACCATGTCTTGGATCTCGAGTGCTTGCAATCTGTCATGCCTGCACGACCACGAGGCTGACCCCGGCCGGCACAGCAACAGCTGGCTCGGCCTCTTGCCGACGACAGCAGCGACGAGGGTAGGCGAACACACGACGAGCTTCTGCAGCGGCGGCGGCGTGTCGTGGGTGACCGGTGGGTCGGTGGGCATCCTGGGGAGCACCATGGTGTTGGCCGTGGAGAACGGGCTCACCAGCGTGTACGCGCCGTCGCGGCGCTGGAAGACGAGCCACTCGCCGCAGGAGCTCTGGGCGTGCGGCAGCTGCTGGTGGCGGTGGAGATGGAGCGGCAGCCGCCGGAAGGCGGAGTTTGGCAGGCTGTAGAAGGTCCGGTCGGGCAACGCGAGCATGGGAATTGCCGGGGCAGTGGGTTCCGCCGCGCGCTGATACGCCACTGGCGGCAGACGGCGCCGAAGCGGACGCGGTCGCCGTGGCACAGGATGCGACCGAAGATCTCACCGGCGAGGTCCGTCGAGAGCTCCGACCAAGATCGTCGTGGCGCGTCCTCTGTCGGCGACATGTTCGGCGACGCCGAAGACGGCGAGATATAGGTTTCCCGTTTCCGTGTGTGTGGACTGTGGATGGATCGAGCGCTGACGAGACGCGATACGTGTGCCGCGCGGATACATCATACAAGTCGCAGCTCATCACGACACGCGAATTCCGATCCGAGGTCAAATTGGGAGTGCTACGCGGGAAAGTAGTTTATACATTTAGGTACTAGTCCCCTCGTCTCATAAAAAACCAACCAGTATTGGATATGACACGTGCTAACACATACTACGAATCTGGATACTAGTATGTGTCATATCCAGTTCTAGATTCGTTTTTTTCGGGACGGAGGGAGTACAACACTAGGCCAGCCATAAAAAATTGAATATTCATGACACGTTTTTTAAACTGTTAAATGATTTGTTTTCATGCGAAAACATTTTATATGGAAGTTGTATTAAAATATCATATAAATATATTTTTCAATTTTATAGTAATTAAAACTCAATTAATCATATGTTAATACCACCTTATTTTGCGTAAAACATTTAATCTTCATCTACATGAGGTTCAAATACCATGTATGCATGTGATTTAGGCAGCTATATAAAGATTTCATAAAATTTAAAAAGTTAGATTATAATGATATAATATATATACTATACAAATGTATAAGTCTAAATTCATATATAAAGAAATAAAAATAATAAATTTTACATATATTGTATAGGTACTATTTATTGCTTTGATTTTATTATTTTTTCTCTAGTTCGAGACTAACTTTAGCCTTGCATATTTGTTTATAGACTCATATTATCCTAATTGATGTTATTACTAGTATTTCTTAATTCTTTTATAATTATCTGAATCGCATATAAATAACAGGTTGCCATGATATCTGGGAGTGGGTGTAGAAAAACCTTGTCCACTGCTCAGCCCAGCCCAGCCCAGCCGAGATAGAAGGCTAGCCCACCAACGAAGGCCTGCCACTTTGAGTGGAGTGGTGGAAAAGGAGTTTACCGAAGGGCGAAGGGGACGACCGGAGGGGGGAGGCGGGGAGTGGGGAGATCGGGATCGGCGGGGGGGATGGCGTCGCCGGCGAAGGAGCGCGACGGGGATGGGAGGCGGGCGCACGCGACGATGGTTGGGGTGCAGTTCATCAACGCCGGGTACCACGTCATCGCCAAGCAGGCGCTCAACGTCGGCGTCAACCGCGTCGTCTTCTGCGTCTTCCGCGACGTCCTCGCCCTCGCCGTGCTCGCGCCCCTCGCCTTCCTCCGCCACCGCGGGTCGCCTTCGCAGGCCCGCACGCCTCTCACCTGGCGCCTCCTCGTCTCCTTCTTCATCCTTGGGCTCACAGGGTAAACCCCACCCACTCCCAACATCTCAGGTCACTGAGGTCAGGAACTCGGTAGTGGAGTTCTGAAGCAATGCAGCTGCTATGCTCTGAAAAATTCGTACTTCGATGAATCCACTATGTTTTTCCCTGCAGCATCTTCGCCAACCAGCTTCTCTTCTTGTTCGGCCTCAGCTACACCAATCCCACATACGCCGCTGCAATTCAGCCTTCCATTCCTGTCTTCACCTTCATCTTGGCCGCCCTCATGGGGTCAGTCTCTTTCTCACTGGTTTGCGACAATGCATATATGTTCATGCTTCTGTTTGTCAAGGTTAAGCATTCTTGTTTGTTTCAGCACTGAAACGGTGAACCTGAGCACACATGAGGGCAGGGCCAAGATTGGTGGAACGATCGTCTGCGTGATGGGGGCTGTTTTCATGGTGTTGTACAGGGGTCCTGCTTTGTTCGGTAGTGGCGAGCTCGAACTTGATGATGCTCATAGTCATGGTGTCATTGCTGACATGTCACAGCCTGAGCCAGTCGGACCCTTGTCCATTGTGTTTGGGCTCCAAAAGTGGCACATTGGAGTGCTGTGTTTGACAGGGAACTGTCTTTGTATGGCTACTTATCTTGCTTTCCAGGTATTACTGATTTTTCAGCTTGTTAAAGCTCAATTTTGCTTGCACTCTTTGATGTTTTTTTTTTGGGGATATTGGGACGCCTGGAAACTTTAATTTATGATAAAAGATATGAGTAGAGCTAGTTCTGTAAGCTAAGATTACTATTTAAAAAGGGTGACTTTAGAACCATGAAGTTTGTCAAGATCATTTTAGCTGGATAAATTTCAGTGTTGACAATTTCCTCAATCATCATAGTTTTGTCCCTCTTGAAATTTAGGCTATTTTTATTCACTTCCTAAAAGGGCACATCCTAATTAGCCACTAGTTTTAAAAAATTCTTGTATCCCTCTCTTTCCACACTTGCCACCAGGCTCTGATGATTATGCCATACAATAATCTCTTCATTTTATTGTCCTGTTGCTACCCAAACATGTTCTATCAATCACACAGGGTTACTGATTGTGCGTGGTCGAATTGTCTATTTTAATAGATTGACGAAATTCTGCAAGGTGATTTGTCATGGGCTGATCAGATCATCAGATTATACTTCACCATAAAAACAAAGACTAGTCATTTACAGGAGACCATCTATCTCACTGTACTTTGAAACTTATGTTTGTGTGGTATTCAACTTGACTTTAGTATCTTACTCCTGTTTGAGTACTGAAACTTTTATGCGATCAGCGTGCTCTAACCTTTCTTGTTTTTATACTTATCATATTCATCTATTTCTTTTTCAGGCGCCAATTTTGATGAAGTATCCGTGTAGTTTGTCATTGACAGCGTACTCGTACTTTTTTGGTGCTGTTTTAATGGTCATTTCAGGAGTTTTTGCAACAAATTGTAAAGAAGATTGGACTTTGACTCGATCTGAGTTTGGTGCTGTTGTATATGCTGTAAGAGTTATCTCAAATTTATTTAATGCTCTGACGTGTATGTTCTTAGTGTGCATTTTGCATGGCTTAATATCCCTTTGGTACATATATATGTTAGTGCTGATGCAGTGCATTGGGTTGCTGCATGTTCCTTGAATTGAGATTCTGCTTCTATATGTGGTCCTATTGAAGAAACCTTGCATTAGTTTTTACAGGCCATAAAATAATTTAGTTGCTGCATACCGTGCATAATATTGTTTGAATGAAAGTGTGTTTTATCCCTTGTTGCAGGGATTCATTTCTTCTGCTAAGTGTGTTTTATCCCTTGTTGCAGGGATTCATTTCTTCTGCTCTTAATACTGGTTTACTGACATGGGCCAACAAAATTTTGGGCCCTGCTATGGTGTCACTTTATATGCCTCTTCAGCCAGTGGTTTCTGCTCTACTGTCGAAGTTTTTTCTGGGAAGCTCAGTTTACCTTGCAAGGTAAGAACACTGTTATCACTCACTCTACTTTTTAATCACAGTTACAATTTTTTAAAAAAACTTTCTCTTGCAATGTGAACAATACTGTTTTGGTGCCTCATGGCCTCACCTTCCTGGTGTAAATTTGTAATGTATGTTTGCATATTGATGCTGAGATATTGGCTATTTGATGATAGATCAATAGTTCAAGCTTCTAGTTAATCTATCAATTGATCAGGGTACAAATAGTTTTCTATCAATCCATTTTTCTCATTTCTGTTGATCTAAACTCTGAAGTTAAGATCTTTGCTTGCTTGCAGTATTATTGGAGGGTTTCTGATCATCTCTGGTTTATATCTTGTCACCTGGGCCCGGCATAGAGAAAAGTTGACAATTGGAGTACCATATGAAACATGTGCATCTGAGTTGCTTGAAAGTACTTCTCATGTCGTAAAGAGCAGAAACATGGCCTCGGTACCCTATATATCGCTTTCTAGGCCGTCAAACGTTCCACATGAATCATAACTCTTAAGAAGTTGGTCACTGCTATCCCCTTCCTTACTCAGAATATAGATAGAGAAAGCATGCATTAGAAAACATGAAGTGCCGCAAAGAAGATTCAAGTGAACGTAGTTAAGACTATATGTTAACAATGCTGTCATCTGTCCTTGGCTTAGTTCCCCATATGGCTTCTCTTCAGAAAACAGCATTCTTATTCTTCATTTCCTAGGAGAAGTTGATTTGTGTATGAGTAAAGAGAGGTTATGCTCATTTAGTTTTGTGAGACTAACAACTCTGAGGATGCTGCCTGAATTGACTGTCCTTTCACCAAATGCAAAGCCAGCTCAGAAGCTCCGTCGGCTTAGTGAATCCCCAACAAGGCAACAATACGTATCCTGTTAACCTCCTGCATATGTAATTACTCTGTAAACATTATACATGTGCGCAAGTCAGAGCGGTTAAATGACTTAAAAATCTATGTATCTCCTAAATGCTAGTAGTACATTTGACCAGAGTACACCATGTACTGTATAAATTCAGTCCTGGAAATCATGCAAGTTGCAACTCTTGAATTGATGTTTTTGTGAGATTGTCCGTGTTTGTTTGGAAATCTGGAATTGCTTATTTTTCGAAATTCTTAGTCCACATCATATGGTCCCCTGTAACACATGTTTATCAGCAATTGGAAAGCTTCAGATGTTATTATGTTTTGTATTTCAAATCATCGTATGTATATACATAATTTTCTCAACTGTGTGTGTACAGTATCACACTACGTTTTTTTCCCACTACAGTAATTCGTGATTTCATATGGAAATGTGCATCGGAGTCACTTGAAAGTACTTCTCATGTCGTAAAGAGTGGAAACATGGCCGTGCCCTATATATCTCTTTCTAGGCTGTGGAACGTTCCATATGAATCATAACTCTTAAGAAGTTGGTGGTCTCTGCTATCACTTCCTTTGGGTATATCCTGTCCTCCCTTGCTCAGAACGTAGATACAGAAAGAAGTGCTGCAAAGAAGATTCAAGCGAAGGTAGGTAAGACTATGTTAACAATGCTGTCATTATCCTCGGCTTAGAGTCCCTATATGGCCTTCTCTTCAGAAACAACATTTAGTTTTGTGAGACTAACAACACTTAGAGGTTATTCTCATTTAGTTTTGTGATAGTGAGACTAACAACACTGAGGTTATTCTCATTTAGTTTTGTGATAGTGAGACTAACAACACTGTGGATGCTGCCTGAATTGACTGCCCTGTTACCAAATGCAAAGCCCTCTCGGCAGCTCCTTCGGCTTGTTGAATCCCCAACAAGGCAACAATACGTATCCAGTTACGCTTTTGCATATGTAATGTAAGTACTCTGTAAATTATATTTGTGCACAAGTCAGGGCAGTTAAATGACTTAAAAAAAACTGTGCATGTCCTAAATGCTTGTTCATTTCACCAAGTCATGCCAGTTGCAACTCTTGAAATCGATGTTTTTGTGAGATTGTTCTTGTTTGTTGCAACTCTGGAGTTGCTTATTTTTCGAAATTCCTAGTCCACATGATGGTCCTCTGTAACACAAGTTTATCAGCACTTGGAAAACTTCAGACGTTACTATGTTTTGCATCTGTGCTCGTGTAGTTAAAATCATTCTTTCATTTCATATGTACTCTACATAATTTTCTCGAAGTATGTGTGCACTTATACTACGTGTTCCACAGTAACTCGTAATTTCGTATGGAAAATGTATACGTGAATTCTATACATTGCTACGTTGGTTTGTATCATTGGTGCTGTGACTGGAGCTCGGCCTGCGTGACGAACAGGCCATGGAAGCCGTAGGGGACGCGTCCGGGCAGCTGCACCTCCGCGACGATCTCCAGGTCCGGCGACCGCGCGTCCATCACCACGAACCGGTTCTCGCCGGTGGCCTCGTCGTGGACGTAGCACACCAAGTACCCGTCATCCTCGTTGCCGTTGCCCTCGACGTCGTCGGCCACGAAGAACGGTTCGCCGGCGAAGCACCCGGGCCCGAAGTCGCGCTGCGCCACGGTGCAGTCGCCCTCGCCGGCGCGGTCGAAGTCGAGCTTGGCCACGCCGCCGATCTTGGGCGCGGGGTCGCCGACGCCGAAGTAGCCGTACCTGTTGCGGCGGCCGAGGAAAGCCGGGTTGATCACGGGGAAGTCGAAGTTCCCGGCGGCGAGCGGGGTGCGCGTGACGACGCCGGTGCGGAGGTTGATGCGCACCTTCTCGACGCAGGAGTGCACTAGCTCCATGTGCTCCAGGGCGTGCTCGATGGAGAGGACGTTGGGCGCCACCAGCACCAGCTCCTCGCCGCCGGCCTCCTCCCACGCGTTCACCGAGTGCATGATGTTGAAGCCCGGCACCTCGAACCACCGCATCTCCGACTCGTCGGTGGCGTAGCGCGGGATCACGCCGAGGCGGGGCACCTTGCCGGGGTCCGACCCCACGGGCGAGCCGCCGCCCACCACCATGTCCATGGGCTTCATCACGATCTGGATCTCCGGGAAGATGGCGTACCGCTCGGTGATGGCGAAGTCGTGCAGGAACGACGGCTGCTGCACGGAGAAGATGGGCACGTCGGCGCCCTTGTTGCCGGCCGGGTCGAACCGGAAGTACGTCACGAACGGCGGCACGGGGCCGTAGCGGAACGCGAAGAGCTCGCCGGTGACGGGGTCCTTCTTGGGGTGCGCGGTCATGCCCATGACGAGGCGGCCGCCGAAGTCGCACCTGCCGTGCGTGGTCACCTCGCCGGTGTCCGGGTGGACGCGCACGGCGTAGGGGAGGTCGGACTCGCCGAGCGCGTAGAGGCGGCCGGCGAAGTAGGCGAGGCTGGTGTTGGCGAGCCCGACGCCCTCCAACGGATTCATCTGCCCGGTCAGGACCCTGGCCGCCACGACGGCGCCGCGCGCCATCCCGGCCACGCCGTGGAAGCCGGAGAAGACGTTGGGCAGGACGGGCGCGCCGGCGTCGCGCTCCACGAGGTACTTGTACGTCTGCACGTAGCGCGAGCACAGGACGGGGTCGTCGCCGGACGACGCGGGCGACGGGAGGAGGAGGGAGTGCAGCATGCCGTCGCCGTCGAACAGGTGGTGCGGCCCGCGCGGGAGGTGCTGCGGGTTGGGCCCGTTGCGGATGTAGGCGCCGCCGGCGAGGCAGCGCGGGATGGCGCCGCGCACGACGGGGCAGGGCGTCGGCGGCAGCTCGTCCACGGGCACGAAGTTGCTGGTCAGCACGTTCCGCGGGTCCACCGCCGGCCGAAGCGCCGGCGGGTCGATGAACGTGTTGATCACCTCCTCCAGCGCGTTGCAGAACGTCATCGGCAGCGAAGCGGCCGACGCCGCGGCGGCGGGGGCAGGCCGGCGGCGAGGCCGAGACTGGCTCGGCGCCGCCCTGCCATTCGTCGTAGCAATAACAGTTCTCGTAGTCTTGGTCTTGGCTACCAACTGCTCGTCCTCTTGCTCGGTCTGCTTCGGAGTGCGGGTGGTGGTCACCAGCGGGGAGGTGAGAACGGTGGTGGAGGCGGCAGCCGATGGCGGAGCGGCGGAGGCGTTCTTCTTCCTGCCATAGCTGGGGCTCTGTGGAGCAGCAGAAGCAGCAGGAGGGATGTAGGAAAGCCTCATGGACTTCATGGTGAGTGAGTGAGTGACCGAGCAGTGAGCAGGGCAAATCCTTTGCATGCTACTACTACTGCACTGAGTTGTGAGATTAACCGTGCGGCTATTTATAAAGGCCTCTCTTGCTAAGAGAGGCTGTCCCTTTCAGATTCGTGCTAGACCGGGAAGAAAGATAGTACAAGTACCTCGTGATAAAGATACTAATCACTCCGTACCCATAGAAGTCGTTTAGGATAATTTTTAAGTCAAACTTTAAAAATATAAATCATAAATAACTATCAAGTTGTTGAGCTTGAAAATGTAAAAATTATATGAATAGATTTGTCTTGAAAAATACTTTCATAAAAGTATACATATATCACTTTTCAATAAATATTTTTAATGAAACAAGAAGTCAAAGTTGTGTTTTGGAGACCGTGTCGCTGTCCAAAATAACTTCCTTTACGAGTACGAAGGGAGTACACTACTACTGTACCACTTCAGACAAGGGAAAGATACGGCGTAATTTTGTACAGTTGTACCTGTACAGTTGTACCTATGAACTATGAAGACTATTTGACTAGTAAAACCTGGACGATTGGCAAGACACTCTAGTAAGATTCTCAAAAAAAAAAAAAATCAAGAAATGGCATTAGCAAGCGCCCAATTTCAAAAAAACCATCAACAAATACAAGTTCCATAAAATGATATCGTGCGAGCTACTTTATTCCAAAAATATCATTGCCGTTAAGGTTTCGCCAGCAACCCTCCGTTAAGTGCTATAGGATGAACAGTGTATTTAACTGTGTGGGATGGACGAAACCCTAACGACGATGATATTTCTGGGACAAAATTATTTGTATGATGGTATTTATAGAACCCGCACTCATCGATGGTATTTTTTGGATTTGGTTGTTTGTCAACGACATTTCTTGAATTTTCTCGTGCTCAAATGGAAATATTTTTCAAAATATTGATCCCTCTTTTGATAGCTAGTTGTTTTATTTCAGGAATGAGATTTTCATGAATATGCGTAGAGTGAATATTTCTCTCAAGCAAATAGTTGCTGATTGGTTACAACTATTGTAATTTTAATCTGGACATCCTTTTCCTTTAAGTCTTTTAAATAACCTTTTTCATACTTATAAAATTATACTACCGAGCAAATGCCTAGTAGTTGTTCCTAAAAAAATTACTCTAGTAAGAAACTTCCTCTGTTTTATATTATAATATAAGTAGTTTTTACCTTTTTTTCTAATCAAAACTTTTTAAGTTTGATTAAGTTTATAAAAAAATGCAGCAAAATTTTCAACACAAAACAAACATCGGCCTGGGAGATCTGCTGTGCAGGTCCAAAGATTGTTGAGATGCGGGTGTGCCAGTCAGTTTGGTCCTGCAACTGACAAGATATGTAAACAGTAGATCAAACAGCCGATCGGCTGACAAGCCGATGTAGTGATTCCAGCCGATGCCGATACCAACCGATAGCGATAGGGTTTAAGCAATCGGCTATGTGTCTAATGTAGATAATGATATAAAGGCAATCGGCTGATGATGATAGAATACAACAACAATATAATCCAATAGAAACCAATTGGCTATCAATATGATAGAATAAGCACTGGTCTGAAGGCTAAAGCATACATCGGCTGGAGGTCCGATGTCATAAAATCCACAAGATTAGATTAAACGATAATATCTTTGTTGCGATCGGCTAAATCCAATATGTATGTATATGCAATCCTTACAAGCCGATGCAACGTCCAGATAACTCATCGGCTGAAACCCCGATAAAACCCTTATTGGCAGTCAAAAAGCAAGCTAGAGATTATGGTTCTAAGCACGACTTAGTAGATCAAACTCAACTGATGCAGCACTAAGTATGAAAAGAAACACAATATCTAGACAATCAAGCCGTTGACTGAGTTTTCAGGGTGGTAGATGTCTAAGCTAATCTAATCTAGCAACGCGATTTAGCCGATACCGACAGAAACCCTAAAACGAGAAGCAGCCGATAGAGCTAAATTGATATGCTAAGACTAGATTAACATAGACATATGATAAATAGGTAGGCAAGTATATCATCCAAACCAGAACAATCCAAGAGATCGAATGTCCTGATGCAGCCTTAAACGACGCCGACGTAGACGATATAATTGTCTGGGCCGACGGAACATTGGACTTACCCCTTAGCCGGAGATCGAACACCGATGCAGCCCCGCGTCGGGTGCCAAGTTCCGGCGGAACGTAGAAACAAAAGTAAAAGTAAAAATGGTGGCGATGCGCCGAATTGTATTGATCGTGAGGATAGATTACAATGACCCTGGGTGTACATATTTATACCCATGGGTAGATACAAGTCCTTGTCGGACAAAAAAGAAACTTTCCTAAAGATAAAAGGAAAAGATAAAGTCCTTATAGGACACTAAACACACTTTCTTAAAGATAAAAGTAAACTAACAAACTATTCCTAATTAATAGATAACTTGCCATGCCGCATTCTCTTTGAACTCGGTCTCTTCTGGATAAGCTTCCTTTAGTAGATCAATTTCCTTAACCGAATATAGCAAGAATCCGACAACTGACGACTTGACAACTCTCATCGGCTAATCTCAAGACTTCGAAGCCGATGCTGACTCTAAACCGATGACTACTCCGGGCTTACTAAATTTCACTGTTAACAATTATCGAAATATATTCAATGTTATATTTAATAAAACTAAATTGGTGTTAAAAATGTTGCTAAATTTGACCAAACCTAAATAAGGTTGACAAAAAAAAACAAAGTGTCTATAATATGAAACTGAAGGAGTATACTATAAATCTATAATCAATCTAAAATCTGGTGTATGGATACATGTTGGATATACCCGTGTTGGTATTGCCTACCTAGAATAGGATATATTTGCAGTACTCTACATTTTCATCTCCAAAGGCAATCAGTTTTTTTGAGAACAATCATCTGGTTTTGCATATTTTGCGTTACAAACAGATTTCGTATTTAATTTATGGTAGCTTTTAGGCAGCATGTTGGATGGAGGTTAACTTTGCGACAACTCCATTTGCCATAAGGCCCATAACTGGGCAAGCCACACAAAGGGTGTGTTCGGCACTCCATCTTCTCAACCCCTCTCCCTCGTTTTCCGCACGCACATTTTTTAAACTACTAAACGGTGCGTTTTTTACAAAAATTTTCTATACGAAAGTTGCTTAATAAAATCAAATTAATCCTTTTTTTAAAAAAAGCTAATACTTAATTAATCGTGTGCTAATGGATTGCTCCGTTTTCCGTGCTGGATGTTTGGGTTGGAAACCTGGGTTGCCGAACTGAGCCTTAAGTGTGGCCAATAATTTATTGGCTCTAACTATGACAAACTTTGACTAGAAAAATGAGAATATGATGCATGGGCCAATATGCTAATGAAGTGTGGTTTGACTTAACTGTGACACTCAACCAAATATTAATCTAAAAAATTATGGCACGCCTAAGGTTTGATGTGGCAAACCATGGCCACCAACCAGACAGCTCCGTACCTCTTCTAGTATCAAAAAGGTTATTGCTAATATTTCTTTTGATTCTAAATAACCATTTTAACCTTCTCAACTCTTTCCTAAACACAGGTTATTTTATAACTTATAAGTACCTATCATAATTTCTAACACGTTTAGCTCATCAAATAAATATTGTCAATCTTATATATAAAAGGCTCATCCTTTTCAGCACTGTATGACAGTATGAATGAAGTATAACAAAGTTCCTTTAGTTCCTTTCTTATTTCTTATGCACAAATCTAACACAAGTTATATCTGGAATTAAGGCGAGCAAATATGCCGACACCAAATTAATATGGGAAAAACTAAGAAACGAGATGTCAGTGAGTGCAAATAGGAAATTTTTCATTGAAATTTACGAGTTTGAAGAATGAATTAGGTTACCAAGTAAACACAAATAGAGGGAGTCGATAGTTTTTACCAGAATTTTTATTTCTATCTAAAAGTTTCACAAACCATCATTTTACGAATTGGGTGTGGATTGGTAGGGCCCACACTGTCTATATCGACTCTTCTTTTTACTCGTCCCCTGCTACCATACAATTTTCCTTGGTCGCCATCGTCCATTTCCATCTTCCCTTCATATAATATCTACACAGTTATGTATGAACATCACTAGAGAAAGCACAAGTGGTATGATGGTGAAGTTGTGGGTACATAACTCTACTCAGCAGGGTTTAAATTCTGGTACTCACAAATATTACACACATATAGATGGGCTTTCAACAAGTATTTAGGGAGATCAGGGATGTAACGCTGGTTTATATCACTTAGAGCATGTGTTAGGGGACGCATTTGCAGATGAAGGCGAAATAACTCATGTAATAATTAGATTGATAATCAAGAGATTATATATACAGGAGAGAGTCCAAAGCCTTCCATATTTTAACTACCGATTTATAAAAACAAAAACCAGGGAGAGAAGGAAAGCGACTCAAATAACCCAAAACAACCTAAGTAGTCTATCCCCCCTCCACACACACACACACACACATACAAATCGTATTGGGAGGACGGATGTTGAGACTAGACCGATACTCCGTGAATACGGAAGTGGGTAGACCCTTTGTAAAAACATATACACACTGTATAGTGTCAGGCACATGCAGAACGCAAATTTCACCAAGAGCTACTCTCTTACGAATGAAGTGTAAGTCAATCTCCACATGCTTAGTCCACTGATGCTAAACTGGATTGGAGGAGAGATAGACGACAGAAATGTTATCACAGTACACCATGGTGGCACGCTAGAGTAGGGATCCAAGCTCAGCAAGAAGCTGTCGCAACCAAGTAGCTTCGACAACACCATTAGCAACGGCACGGTACTCGGCTTCTGCACTGGAGCGAGAGACAATATGTTGACGCTTGGAAGACACGAGACAATATTATCACCAATAAACACACCATAGCCGGAAGTGGACTTGTGTGTATCTGGACAACCAGCCCAGTTAGCATCAGTGTAAACCACCATCTCAGCTGGAGAAGTTTGATGGAGTACCAAGCTGTGATCAAGAATACCATGAAGATATCAAATAACCCGCTTAATCAAAGCAAGATGTGGCTCCCGAGGATCATGCATGAAAAGGCAAACTTCCTGGACATCGTAAGCTATATCAGGGCAAGTGAA